TGACCTTTGCCCGGTAAGGTTTCCACCTCCTGCCCTCCCTGGTGCCCTGGGCTGCAGTCAGGGTGTTCCTGGGTTGGGGGTACTCCAGTGGTGCTTTCAGCCCTGCCTTCATTGGCTTCCCCAGGGCCTCAAGGCAGTGGGGTGTTGAGGTACAGCTGCAGGTCCTTGGGGAGCAGGGAACCAGGAGCGGGGCCGTGGCCCCGAAGGCGCGGCTCCCCCCAGTGGCTGTGTGGACAGGCTGTGGGTTTTCCGTCTGCGCGCTCTGTGACCTGAATGTGCTGTTGTGTTTTTGTCTCTGGTCTGCCAGGGCCTGGGAGGAGTTCCACGGCCTGGTGAGCAGCAGCGGCCGCTGATCGGACGCTCCCCTCTGTCTCTCACACGCAGGGTAGGGCCTCGTCTCTCCGTCTTCTGTGTGCGCCTCTCCGCTGCAGGAGGGGCCTCCCCCGCTGGGCGCCCTCTCCATCCCACCCCCTGACCTCAGCCCGCACCGAGCTCCCTCCAGACTCGAGAAGCACCCTCGGGGTGAAGCTCTCTGCGCCTCTGTTTTCTCATGGGAAAGCATGTGCACTCACACAAGCACAGCGCCAAAAGAGCTCTTAGGCACTCTCATGACTAGAGGCAGCCCTGGAGCCTTGCTTTTGCACGCAGACCCCTGTCCCGAGGGGAGGGCTGCGTCGTTAGCTGCCGGTGGTCAGGTTGAGGACAACGCATATAAACGGGGGTTCCGCCCTGGAAGTGACGGGGTTCAGTGTCAGCACTGTGAGAGTCTCCCCACCAGGTCTTGCTGCAACCGACCGTCCATGTACTGGCTATGCGAGGCACAGGGTCAGTGGGAGTGTTCGTGGAAAGAATGTCTTTGTAGCAGAGGGGACCAGCGACTGAGTGGAACAGAAAGTGGGAGCATATTCCTGGCCAGAAGCTGTGTACCCGCCACCCCCACCCCAGTCCCTAAGAAATAGACTGTTCAAAAATTGGAATGGATCTGTCAATGGAAGTGGCTGTTTCCGAGTACCCTTGTCTCAGGAGGAAAATGAGGCTTTGCCAAGAGCAGGAGCCTTACCCTCCGACTGGCCAGCAGAGAGGGTGGCCTGGGGGGACAGTGCAGTGTCTGAGGGCCTGATGGAGCTGATGCCGGCTCAGCACCTGCACACATCAGTGCATCTGTGCCCAGCCCAGGGTACACCCTAAGGGCATGGGGTGCAAAGGGGAGCACTCCACAGGCACCCCCCAAGCAGACAGGGACCTGAGACGGCACTCACGCGATAGACTTGAAGCTCCTGTGTAAACCGCTCGCAGATTCACTTCCTCAGTTAACGGGTGTGTCATGCTACTTAAGCCTCGGGGCTGTTGCTGTTTCGGGGCTTTGCATGGCCTCCACTGCCACAAAGTATTGTCCTTTAGTGGGGCTGCAGTGACGCCCGGGTAGCTGCCTGGCGGAGGGCATGGGATGTGTACCAGACTGGGCCAGGTATGGCAAGCAGAGGTCTTTGGCTTGGGAGCACGATTACCCATGGTCACTTGGTGGGAGATTAGAGGCCCGTCTCCGAGGGAGAAAGGTGAGGTGGCTGTAAAGACTGGGAGC